AAAATAAGAAAAAGTTATTTGATAAATGTTTTAAATCGAAATTTTTATTTATATAGCAATCAAAACTGTTATATTACATATGTGTTGTATCAAATTTTCTTGATTCATAAGTATGAAAATATAAGTATAATATAAGTATATTCTTGATTCTGCGAGCTAATTCTAATTTATTGTGTGTTGAATAAAATTGAGTAGAAAAATATAGCTAATGCAAATTTATATCATTTCAGTTTTTATATTAAAGTGTGAGTTAAGAATTATTTGAATAAGAAAGAGGTAATAATATATTATTTTGGAAATTGTGTTACAATAAAATATTTAATTAAATATTTCATAATCAAAAAAGAAAATGCATATATATAAATGGATCTTTATAACTTAATTCTCTTGTTGTGCGATGATTGAAACTAATATAAGATAATATGTTAGATTTGTATCATACTTTCTAAAGATATTTATATCAAATTCTTAAAATGATTATTTCAATGATTTTTATGTCACATAAGAACATTAAAAAATAGAAAAAAATATTAAAGATACATGAATATAATGGAAGAGAGGGAGTGAATGTACTTATATGTTGATAATCAAAAATAGAAAATAGAGATGGAATTTTCAAGGAAAAAAAGATAAATTATAATAATGTAAGAAGTATATCAATATATCATATAGTCTCTAAAAGTTTCTACAGTTGAAATTTTATATAAGAATATTTTTTTTTTCAAAACTCATACAACAAAAATAAACAAAGCAACAAATTTCATAAAGAAGAGAATGAGAGAATGAGAGAATGATATAATGATATAATGAGAGAATGAGAGAATGATATAATGAGAAAATGAGTATATATAAGAAGATAAGTGATGGGAGTTACAATTTCATAAAACAATTATGGGAGTCAATTATAATTGATTGTGTATTGAAAAAATTGAATGGAAAATATAGTTAATGCAAATTTATGTTATTTCAGTTTTTATATTAAAGTGTGAGTTTAATATATATGATTAAATGTGTTTTGTGGTTTCTTTGTTTTTTTCTGTTTTATATTAAAGTGTGAATCAAATATATAATATTTTAAAAAGTTACATGCCATATTATTCACAAATCATATATATATATATATATATATGATAGTTATTCTTTGATTTAAATTCATTATATTATTTTCTCAACTGTTTGATAATAGAAAATTAAATAAATTTTGTTTGATAATCTCTTTAATTCTTCTCTTATAAATTAAATTTTAAAAATTAGAAATTATGTTATAAATAATTTATTACCCATATTAATAACTTTAAAATGTATCTTTAAAGGAGTAGGAAAAAAAACTTTAAAAATGTATCTTTAAAGGAGTAGGGAAAAAAAGTCATAGCAATTTTCTTTGAATAAAAAATTATAACAACTCCATTTTATGTTTAGCTTATATGATATTTAATTTAATTAGAAACTAAAATTAGGAAAAACATATTTTTGCAACAATTACACTTTTTAAAAAGCAAACCATACATATAACATATAACTTACAACACAAAATCATTAAAAATAATAACTAAATGTTAAATTATAAATTAATAAAAATAACACATGTCAGAAGCATAGAGCGACACATGTCGCGTTGTGAGGCAAAGTTAAGAAAAAACCTTGTCTTATTATATAAGATACTACATATACAAGCGTGTGTGTTGCATATGGGGTCACCGCATACAAGTGTGTGAGTCTCTGCGTTAGCGGCGCGTTTGATGGTGGCGTGTATATATCAAAATGGAATATGCTTTTTTAACGTTAAATCTGCGTTTCTTTATTCTTCTTTTCTTCATCCTAATTTAATACCTTAATAGCATCCTAATTTTAATACCACACTGTCTTAAGAAAGAAATAAAGGTAATAAGAATAAGAGAAAACGAAGGTAGCTTGTCGGTGTCACGTGGGGAAGAACATGTGAAAACATACTTATCTGCAAAACAATAATTAGGATTAAAGAATTAGGGTGTAAAACAAAAAGATTGAGAAAATGTGAAAAAATGTGATGGATCAGATTAGGTATATTCTTTCGAGCTCTTTTTAGTGTTCACAGCCTCAGCCACGATTCTTATCCAAAAGATTGGCCCCCCATAACAAAGACGTATTACACAATATTACAATAAGAATCGTTTTCTAAACTACTGCTCCATACTCAAATCGAATCTTAGGAGATTCTTCGATTACTAGATTACTAGCTAGAAGCCAAGTTTCTTAAAAGTCTAGACGACTTGACTTCTAGATTACCAAAACTTTGGCTCTTTTTTTTTTTTACATAATATGGCGACACTTCTGATGTAGAAATGTTACACCAGGCCAATTTTTACCCACAGATACATATCGAAAAGTTAGTTTGTGGAAAATAAAACTAACTAACAAAACAAGATCATCAATTCGACAAAAGAACGTAAGTTTTTATAATATTGAAACATATATACAGAAAATTTTGAATGATGATACAACTACTGATGGTCGATCGTAACTAATTGTATATTTTATTGATACATATATATATGGTCGATTGTGATCAATATTTAAAATGTATAATAATATTCGTAACACGAAATATATATATACATGAGATCATTATGCTGAATTTGGATTAAAACTTTAAAAGAGAATTTTTAGTCATGCATATCTATATATTGAAGAGAACGGCAAATCATGACTCATAATCAAATTTTAAAGTCATATTAGAAGGAATATATTATCACAAGTTTAGCTTAAATGATGTGACGTTACTGGTCTAATGGCTTGCAACTTCAGGTTTGGGTTCTTGACATATAAAAGGGGTTCGTAATTCAACTCCATTTATTCGTTTCAATAATAAGCTCATGAGAGTGATCATGTATCGCGAGCTATATACTCTAAGCCATTGTGCTCATTAATGTAATATTGTCTCATTCGTCTTACATATGTGGATTCATATGTCTCTCTTTATCCCACTTCGGCATGTGAACTTATGTATATCGGCTGGTCAACACTACTTCTATATAAATCCTATCAATGTTGTCCATCTGAGTGATCACACTACTTAATTACTACTACACCTGACCAAGAATGTTCATAAGTTATTTTTTATTCCTCCCTTTAAAATTTCATAATAAAGATTTTTTCTCCCTCAGAAACAAGTCATTTACAAATAAAAAAATGTATCATTGTTTATTTTCTTGGTTGCATTTATAATTGCAAAAATTAAATTTTCTGTCATATTTATTATTCGTATTAAATTTGTCAAGAACACCCTTAATTGGAGTGTAAGCGTCTCCGCGGACCTTTAATTAAATTTACTTCCTTCAACAAAAAAAAACGAAAAGTCAAAACTTCAACACGCAAAACAATACAATCAAAGGTTGGGTTCTACATATTAAAGTTTTTATTTTTATTTTGGTAAATACGCACTCTTTGGTTTCTCTTTTTATCAATGGTATATATAAAAACGAAAGGGGTCAGCTTTGTAAAGAAGTTGCCTTTCATTTGTTGCCAACGACCGCTCTTTCTTCATCACACAGCTCAGCCTGACGCTACGTTCAGGCTGATCTCTTCCATTTTCTTTACAGCCATTTCCCCCTAAATCTCAGATCTCTGATCTGGTGAGATCTCTTCCCCTAAGGTAAAATGCCCTGCAACTTCTTTTGGGTGTGTGATGCATGTCCCTTCGTTTTGAATTCTGTCGGTTTTTTCGTTTCATTTCGATTTTCTCGAGATTTGTACTCGATTTCGTCAATTCTCTGTGTTTTGGTTCGATGATATAATGTTCTATCCACTATGTTTTATCTTGAAATGATGAATTTTGTTTTGTTCGATCTGGGTTTAAGCTGTAATTTTTATTAAGGTCATTGATTTATTGTGTGATCCGACATTTTTATTGAGCTGTTGTTGTCTGATCAGCATCGGAATTTTGGAAAGAACACTTTTTTTTTGGTGTGTTGGGTTATCTGATGTAGTGTTTTTGTAACCTTATGATTTATTGAGTTGTGGATCTGAATTGAATTATCATTTCTCTTTGAATTGCTGTATAGCTTGTTATTTTTGTGTCTGATTACATCTGCTTTGATCAGATCTGAATGCTGTATAGCTTATTGTTTTTGTGGATGTTCTGTTTCTACCATGTTTTCTTCACCAGGTCTCTAAATTTACCATTTTCGTAATAGACTTTGTCTTTGTTAATTGTTAAGATCTGACGTTGGCATTTGCAGGAAAAAGAAGTTACGACAATCAAGGATTCAAGATGAAGGCACTCATTCTTGTTGGAGGTTTCGGCACTCGGTTGAGGCCATTGACTCTCAGTTTCCCAAAGCCCCTTGTTGATTTTGCTAATAAACCCATGATCCTTCATCAGGTAAGCTAGATTTAAATATTTGCTGTTGCAGGGTTTTATGGTGTTTATTTGTATTATTAATACTCAAGTTCATACCTGGTTTATCTTATTATATCTAGGAACAAAATAGTCAGATATATATATTTAGCTTCTTGTCCTTTTTCCAAGTTATATGCTCTCATGACTCTCTTGTTTTAACCGAGGCTTGTATTCTTGTGTAGATAGAGGCTCTTAAGGCAGTTGGAGTTGATGAAGTGGTTTTGGCCATCAATTACCAGCCTGAGGTAAAAACACTGTCTCCTAACTTTTCTTTGCAGCTATTTTCTGTTTACATGTTTGTATTTACTATTTGCTCTGTTTCGACAGGTGATGCTGAACTTCTTGAAAGACTTTGAAGCGAAGCTAGAAATCAAGATTACTTGCTCTCAGGAGACCGAGCCACTAGGTACGGCTGGTCCTTTGGCTCTAGCTAGAGACAAATTGGTTGACGGATCTGGAGAGCCCTTCTTTGTGCTTAACAGTGATGTGATTAGTGAGTACCCACTTAAGGAAATGCTTGAGTTTCACAAAACTCATGGCGGGGAAGCCTCCATTATGGTGACCAAGGTGAGATTATCGAACCTTAATAATCTCCTCTTACAGGATAAGTATGCTATTCAATTCGTGTAATGTTGACCAGCTTAAATTGGTTATAGGTGGATGAACCGTCAAAATATGGAGTGGTTGTTATGGAAGAGAGTACAGGAAGAGTTGAGAAGTTTGTGGAAAAGCCAAAACTGTATGTAGGTAACAAGATCAATGCTGGGATTTATCTTCTGAACCCATCAGTTCTTGATAAGATTGAGCTAAGACCAACTTCGATCGAAAAAGAGACTTTCCCTAAGATTGCAGCAGCTCAAGGGCTCTATGCGATGGTGCTACCAGGGTTCTGGATGGACATTGGGCAACCCCGTGACTACATAACGGGTTTGAGACTCTACTTAGACTCTCTGAGAAAGAAATCCCCTGCCAAATTAACCAGTGGTTCACACATTGTTGGGAACGTTCTTGTTGACGAAACCGCTAAGATTGGGGAAGGATGTTTGATTGGACCAGACGTTGCCATTGGCCCAGGCTGCATTGTAGAGTCAGGAGTTAGACTCTCGCGCTGCACAGTGATGCGTGGGGTGCGCATCAAGAAGCACGCATGTATCTCGAGCAGTATCATCGGGTGGCACTCGACGGTTGGGCAATGGGCCAGGATTGAGAACATGACGATCCTCGGGGAAGATGTACATGTGAGCGATGAGATCTATAGCAACGGAGGAGTTGTGTTGCCACACAAGGAGATCAAAACAAACATCTTGAAGCCAGAGATAGTGATGTGAAAAAATGTGATATTATTATTGTTATGTGCAACCTTTGTTTTTTTTTTTTTTTTGAGTCTTTTATCTTTCTCAGCTCTTCCGTTAATTCTTATTTGGCTTTTGAATAAGCATCAATCAAAACACTGTATATCTTCTTAGGGTCATTTGGTGTTTTGTTTCTTCTATCTTATTTTTTTTTGTAACTTATAAAAAAAACCTTTCTCATGTATGATGTATCTGAGAAACTTTTGAGTATCATTCATTATGAAAGCTTTTTCTTCGATCTGAGTATGGTTTCATGTTTCTTTGATGTAGAACATTATTTGTAGCTAGTGATGGGCTAGGAATGGTCGCACTAAACTAGCAATGTACCATTCAGATAAGGGAAACAGGACAGGTCTTTCGAAATTAGAAGCAACAACAGTTGTGTTGTTACGACAGACTCTTGTTGATTTTAAAATTTTCTCAAAGATCCCATTTTATCCGAATCTAGGCGAAGAGGAATATTCGTTGAAAGGAAAAGACTAAAATACCCTTGATTTCCCTCCACATAAAGATACAGTGACCCAATCAATCTGAACCGGAGCTAACTAAAATACGGTTTTGCATCCAATTTAGAGTCAATGGCGTCGCGTACATGTCTTCTCTTCCTTCTCGTTGCGTTTCTCGCCGGAGCATTTGCCGCGGACGTCATCGAAGTCAACAGATCTCAGAGGGAGTTCGATTATTTCGCTCTCTCTCTTCAATGGCCTGGAACCTACTGCCGCGGAACTCGCCATTGCTGCTCCAAAAACGCTTGCTGCAGAGGGTAAGTTTCCCTCGATCTTCAATCTCAGATTCAAATTGTTGTTATCTCGATCAATGTCTTTTCGTGTAGCTGAAGGATCTGAACGACTTAATTCATAAGATGTTGGAATCAAAACAGAGATTAGATTGGATCAATCTTGATTAAGTTTCTAACTTTTTTCTTTTCCAGCTCTAATGCTCCAACTCAGTTCACCATCCGTAAGTCAAAAACTCTTTCAATCTTTAGTTTCAGTTTTCAGGAATCATAATGTGTGTGTTTGAGTTTGAAACTATGCAATCTTGATCTTGTAGATGGGTTATGGCCTGACTACAACGACGGTTCATGGCCTTCTTGTTGTTATCGATCTGACTTTAATGAGAAAGAGGTAAAACATTCATAATTTGTTACTTGTTAAGTTATATATACTGATGGATGGTATACAAAATCATGTCTTTATATCTTAATAATAAAGTTTCTAAAAGGAGAATAAAAATTTGCAGATCTCAACGTTGATGGATGGCCTTGACAAGTACTGGCCTAGTCTTAGTTGTGGTTCTCCATCTACATGTCATGGTGGAAAAGGTTCATTCTGGGGCCATGAGGTGATTGTTTTTTCACTTCTATTATATATAACTTTTCATAGTGGATTGGTGTTTCCATGATTCCATCTCCCATCACCTTGACTTTTTAGTCTTCACCAAAACTAACTGAGTTTCCTTTGTTGGTTGTCATGTATCTCTTTGCAATACACGCTGGCAGTGGGGTAATTATCTTCAATTTTTACTTCTTTTTACTGAATGTTTTACTCTATAGTAATGATATAGAGTTTGATTCTTAGAGAGCTCCATGCTTGATCGCAGAACCTTTTGCTCAACGTGTGTTAGTTAGCAACTATACGTTCTGGTTTAGTTATGCTAATTCGATAACATAGGTTCTTCTCTAACGGTTGTGCTGATAATCTTTCTTATCTTCAGAGAAACATGGGACTTGTTCTTCTCCTGTTTTTCATGATGAGTATAATTACTTCCTTGCCACTCTTAATCTCTACTTGAAGTATAATCTCACGGTAAGTGTTCTCAGAGTTACGTTTATGCTGTGATTTGAATGCTGAGTGGACTAGTTAAATAAAAAAGTTGGGTATACACAAGATTTCCATGAGTTAGTTCATGTTTGCTTTCATACTTGTGCAATGGAGTTTTTATAAATGTAAATGATCATACATCTGATATATCCTCTGCTCTGTCAGTTTATCATTTTGCTGAAGAATTTTTGTACATTTTTTTCTCTATGGGATAAGTTCTTAATGCCAGTTTAAAATCTCTGCATCTGTAAATATTGAATAGGATGTCCTTTATAAAGCTGGCTATGTTGCTTCCAACAGCGAAAAGTATCCTCTGGGAGGTATCGTAACTGCCATTCAGAATGAATATCATATCACCCCTGAAGTGCAATGCAAAAAAGATGCAATCGACGAAATACGTATATGCTTCTATAAAGATTTTAAGGTCAGTGTCCGACATCTCTTTCATCTTAGCTTTTCCTGGTTCAAAATTAAAACATTTTGTTAGACTGTGAGAATAGCACCAGTTTCTGACTGTTTTTCATGACTACAGCTCAGGGACTGTGTTGGTTCAAAAGAATTGACATCGAGAAAATCATGTCCCAAGTACGTAAGTTTGCCGGAATACACGCCACTAGGTAAGTAATCATAGAATGTAAACCATCCTTTTAATATCTTGAAGGAGGCATAATTGCAAGATCAACATGAGATAAGTAATGGATATATGATAAGAACTAATGTGCTGCCTTATATATTTTCTGTATTATGCAGATGGTGAGGGTATGGTTCTGAAGATGCCAACAGAAAGAGAAGCTCTTTGAATGGGGAGCTTTATCATCTTCTTAGAGGCAATACATACATGTCTCTGATGTTGTAATTTTACAACCAATCCTATAAACAATGAATAAAGATTGGCTTATTATTGTTCTGTGGGATATGAATCATTACTGATAAATCAAGTTTCTTTCTAACAATGGAAATATCAGAAAGATCCATAAGATTCAAATTCTATCAACATTCGAGTTCTCTGCTTTATGAATGAAAACTATAAGTTGTTTTAAGGAGAATACTGCAAACAGTTTAAATTATTAAAAAACACTACAATCGTATAAACTCCAAGTTATCAATCATCTCGTAGTTCCAAAGACAATGCTAGAGTGCCTGTATCCACGACACATAGATCGCTGTTCAAATCGATGAGACGGGCTGCACCAAAGAACTTGCCATCCGTTGGCAATCGAACCTTTGCCCTACCTATCACAACAGCTCCTTGTGACGTTGCAGGATCTCTACAAGAATTCTTTCTAAGTAATTCTATGTAAAGATATTTTGCTGGAAAATCTAAAGGAATCACCAATTCTGTATCATAGTTCCAATAGTTGCCTTTGGGAACCCATACTTGTGTTGAGTATGGATCCATAGGGTCTGTCCATGCAATAACTTTGTAGTAGTTCGGATGTTGCAAAAGGTTCTTGTCATCGGTTGTGAATGCTCGAAATATTTTCACGATTAACTTTGTTTCTATGTGATCATCGATCTTTCTCTTCCCTTGACGAATTAGTCGTTTCCTTTTATGCCGCGCTGTGTTTGTCATTGAGAAAGAGTAATATAATATCAAGATTTTGGTTGTCTTAGGGCTTGGAAATTTCACTATTTATATATATATAGTTTTGATCAGCAATATCATATCCTTATTATTGAAAAAGGTAAAAAAGGGATTGAAGAAGAAGATAAGGCTAGTTTCGTCCGTTCTGTTTATCAACAATGCATAAATAATAGTTTCTTGATATTTTTTTCCACATACGGTTAGTACACAAATTCACCCAAACAAAATCGTTTACCTTAACAACAAGTCACGTTATACTGTATATGGTTTAGATGTGATTTGGCTAGGGTTTTAACTTTTAAATTAACCAACGAACCGAACTGGCTTGAGATGACGTACTAATTCAATCCCTGTGAAACCCTAAACAAACACTTGAAACGCTATATAAATAAACCCTTTTGAAACCTAAAAAAACCCGTGAACCTCAAAAATCTTCACAGAAGCAAAGAAGAGAGAATCAGTAAATCACACATGGCTTTGGCTTTATGCGCTGTACGCAGATCAGCATCTAAGTTTGCTTCCGTGTGTGGTGGTCGAGTCCAAATGATCTCCGCCGCTATGAACCGTCCGTCTCTAGCTCTCAACCCGTCACAGCTGCGTCCCTTTGTCTCTCGTAGCTTTTCTTACCCAATGGGTGCTGATCAGCTGAACTCCGAGCAAACGCTTATCCGTGAGATTGACTCCGAGATCAATTCTGCTTATCAAATCAATGATGATACGGATGAGGTAAGTTCTTGAGTCGTAGCTTGTTCCTCACGAAACAGAAATTGGTTTTACAGTACTTTGTTTTTGATGACATGCATGTTAGATTGTGCGCGCTGATTATAGTTAATTACTAAATTTTGACACGATATTTGTCTCTGTTTAAGACTGTTTTTTTTTTTGTTATTTATAATTGGGAGCAGTATGAAGAGACGACTCCAGAAATCTTACCTTTCAGAATTGAAGATGATGGAGGTAAGACCGTGACATTGACTAGAGACTACGAAGGGGAACACATCAAAGTTGTAGTAGGCATGCCTGGTGAAACTCTTGATCCTTCTTATTATGGAAATGGTGATCATGATTATAAGATTCCACTAACCGTGAATGTTACCAAGAAGAGTGGACTCAGCCTCCAGTTTCGCTGCACGGTTATGGATGATGATATCGAAATAAATGATGTATTTGTGGATCAGTCGGGGGATTCTTTGAAAGATCAACGAGAGGATGATGAACGGTCATCTGATTTCAAGTAAGCTTTGTGAATAATTAAATGAAAATGTAATGTAAGGTTGTATAGACATGCTCACATGCATGAGCAGAAAGGTTATGTATTAATGTTGTTTTTTTTTCTTTGTTTTTTTCATCGCCTTTTGCAGAGACGCGGAATATAAACTGCGGATGGCGTTCCACGATTATCTAGAAACTAGATTGACAAAAGGCACAAGTTCATTTTTGTATGAGTACATGACGAGTGGGGACAAGCGACGGCACTTGTTATGGTTGAAGGATATTAAGACGTTTTTGGATGATCAATCTTAAACTTGGAGAGAATCAAAAACTTTCATATGGTTTTTTTTTTAGCATTTTGCATTTGAGATCTTTTTTAACACTTTCCATTTGAGATTTTTTTTAGCACTTTGCATTTGTGAATTTATTTATATTGGTAATGAATTTTTATGTTTAGATATGCCAGTTTTTTTTTATATTTTATTTATTAAAAGAGTTGAGATGCGAATTTGGTTATTCATATTTTAAATGAAACGAAAATTAGGAGTAGAATCGTGATGATGAAAATCTTCCTACTTTTATTTTGGTTAAACAAAATATAAAGATAAAATATAGGGATATTCTGTTACTCAATCACACATAACTAGTAACATCATAAACATTACATAATTAATTAATTTACACATAATATTGGTACAAAAATTCACGACAATTTAAAGAAAATAAAAGATATGGCTTACGATCAATATATTATTATCATTTTATTCACTTCAATATATATATTTCTTTTTGATAAGAATTTATTGGCATCTAAGCTAATTAACCTAATCAATCAGGAGAATAATTTCACTACCATAAAAAAATCAATTAGGAGAATAAAAAAACAACTAACTAAATCAATAATCTTAATAAAATGTTTTGTATTTTACGGATTTTGTTAGAATGTAATTTGGTTGGTTGTTTTGATTTAATACCGAACCGGCCAACCGAACCGAACCGGGCTGTTACGGAGCGGAGCCTCAGCTTCGATCGCTGCTAAAACCTTAAAAGTTAAAACCCTTAAAAGTCCATTTTCTTCACAGAAGAGAGCATCAATCCAATCAAAATCACCATGGCTTTGGCTTGGTCCGCTGTACGCAGGTCAGCTTCTAAGCTTGCTTCCGTGTGTGGTGGTAGAGTCCGATATATCTCCTCTGCTGTTAATCGCCCGAATCTAGCTCGCAACTCATCTAGTCTGAGTCCCTTCGTCTCTCGCGACTTTCTTTACTCGACGGCTATTGATCGAATGAGCTCCGAGCAAACGCTTATCCGAGTAATTGACTCCGAGATCAACTCTGCTTTGCAATCCGGTGATATCGATGTGGTAAAATTTTCGCATTTCTTGCTATGTTTCATTTTACTGAGAAAGCAAGCTTAGTTGGGTCTTCTTATGAAATCATTGGTTTTTCTTACTTGTAAATGTTTCAGTTTCTTTGTATAGGCAGTGGCTTGCCTAATTTTGGTCTTTACAATGCATTTTGCTTTAGAAGCTTGTTGAAAGGTTCTTCATTTATTGAAACTTTAATCATATGCTGTGTTTTCCAAACTGTATTGATTTCTGGGGATGTCGATAATGATCATTAGATCTTACTATCTTAGTCAGCAATTAGCAGATACATGGGAAGGCGATTTAGTTTTCCGGTTTCGTGTTTGCATTTGACTCTGCTTCTTTACATTGCATAACATTCTTATGCGTAGAAGATATATCTATCTGTTGACACTCTTTTATTTCTGACATTATATTGGGGTTTGGTTGGTTGGGAGCAGGATGAAGAGATGACTCCAGGAAGCTTCCCTTTCAAAATTGAAGACAATCCTGGACAGCAGAATGTAACATTGACTAGGGACTACAATGGGGAACATATTAAAGTTGTAGTAAGCATGCCTAGTCTTGTTACTGATGAAAATGATGACGATGCTGAGGATGATGATGGTCCTAGTAATGAATCAAGTATTCCACTAGTTGTGACTATTACCAAGAAGAGTGGACTCAGCTTAGAGTTTAGCTGCATGGCTTTTCCTGATGAGATTGCTATAGATGCTTTATCTGTGAAACAACCAGGGGATTCTTTGGAGGATCAAATGGCAAATGAAGGGCCTGATTTCGAGTAAGCCTTTGTGGACCAACAACTCTATAGAATTAAAGCAAGTTGATGGGTTTATCTTTATAGGCATGATGAGCAGAGTGTTTATAATGCTGTTTTGTGTTCCATTGCCTTTTGCAGAGACTTGGACGAGAATCTGAAGAAGACGTTCTACAAGTTTTTGGAGATCAGAGGAGTGAAAGCAAGCACCACGAATTTCTTGCACGAGTACATGATGAGAAAAGTGAACCGAGAGTATTTGTCATGGTTGAAGAATGTTAAGGAGTTTATGGAAGAGTGAAATGTAAGGTCGACACCTATGTAGCTAAGAATGAGATTACAAAGTCTCACCTTGTGTTCATTGTTAGCATTCAAATGTAGTACACTCTTTGAGAATTAATGGTAATGACTTTCCAGTTCAGATTCGACTTGCAATTCCCAATGCAAATTGAAACTCAAATCCTAAGATGTTTATAGGTAAAGGAAATGGAAGTGTAGCAAAGTCTTCATAAACACCAGGAAACGTGTAGGTAGCTTACAATGACAAGAAGAGAAGCTAATAAAATGTTCTTCATCTTACTTATGAGCAAGACCAAGTGGTAAAATGGATCTTATTTTTGGTGCAATCCTAAACCCTAAATCAAAACCACTACATAAGCGAGGGTTTCAATAATAAGTAGTAGTAACAATAATAATAATAGGATATGATACTAATCAGAGAGGAAACAAAAAGCCCATCCTCCTCTGTGTCTCTCCTCAAGTCTCAACCAAAACACACACACAAACACTCAAACTCTTCTTTTAGGCTTGGATGGGAATGTCCTGATGGGTGTAAACAATTCCATTGTCTCCGTCCACAACTTGTCCTTTTCCTCTCAGTATCCTGCAACCATTTCACCATGATAATTAAACTGAAGCTAAGAAAAGAAGCTCACTTTGGGGGCTAAATTGCCATAAATTTTGTGTTTAGTAAGTAAAATTGTACCATCTTGTTGTAAGTAATCCTTCAACTCCAACTGGACCACGAGCATGGATCCTGCCTGTACTTACTCCCACCTGCACATCACAATAGAAATTCTTCATCACTCACGCTTCCTCTCTTTAATTTTCTTTTGATATGTGGGCTATGTCTCTGACTTACCTCAGCACCAAGTCCAAATCTAAAACCATCTGAGAATCTTGTGCTTGCGTTGTGGAAAACAGCAGCACTATTCAAGGACACACATCTTACAGTCAGTTACCAAGAAAAATCAAAGACAAATAGTATGCAAGTTTAACATCCCGTAATTTACCTGTCCACTTGACGAAGGAATAGCTCTGCAACTTCGGGATCCTCTGCTACAATGCAGTCTGTGTGTGCACTGCTCGCAACAACATACAATACGAGATAAAGAGTGAACCTTTCCACTAACATATGCAAAAAAAAAATTAAAATCAACGTCTGTTATGTCAAGTTTCTACCTCCCATGTCGGTGAATGTGATCTATAGCACCATAAACGTCTTCTACAACTTCAACGGTGCAAGCCTTGGAACAGTATTCATGGTTGAACGTCCGTGCTTCTGGTATGTTCAGTATTGCACTTGCCCTTGGTCCACCATACAAAGTGACTCCTGCAGTTTAATGAAGATTTCCATGAAATGGCCACTCAACTTTTATAATATAAAAGCTACATATATCTAGAAGTCATCGTTAATGAAGGTATGAAGAGGAAGAATCAATTTTCCATTTATGATTTACCATTGCTCTGCAGGGCAAAAATAAGCTCATTGAGCACTGCATTATGCTCTAGATCCTTATGCACAAGAAGGGTTTCCTGAAAAGACGAGGTAAAGAGAAGATGAAATGAGTCAGATGAACTTAAAAACCCCACTGCATTACTGAAATCTCAATGGAAGGTAAAAAATTATGTTCTCTTACCATTGCATTACAGGCTGCTGGATAGTCTAACTTTGCATCAGAGACTATGCGCTTTGCCATATCAGTATCACAAGACTTGTCGACATATACATGACAGATTCCATCTGCAAGGACACAATTAAGCCACCGTTACTCTCTAGTACAATCCAAGTACAGAATTGTATGGAAAACCAAACTTGAAACCTTACCAGCATGACCTAGCACAGGGATTTTTGTAGTATTTTTTATCTGAGTAACAAGCTTGTTGCTGCCTCTTGGGATCACAAGATCAATAACATCATCAAGCTATAACACAAATTCAAATGGTGAGCTCCAGTTTAACAAAGGATATAAGACTTGTTTGTAGCTCACTGTTTGCGAATCTGTGTTTACCTGGAGCAAATCAGGAATCTCTTCCCTTGAAGTCACAAGTCCAATGAGTTTACCCCCGACAGTCTCTGGAATTGCATCAGTGATCACCTAGGAAATTACCATGAAATTAAAAGAGTTAAAAGAGCAGAAGTATATTTATTTTGAGAAAGCCATATAATGATTAATCTGGATAGTAATGCAAGCTATGAAATCTGAGGCCGTGTACCTTGTGTAAGATAGCATTTGACCGCCGGGCTTCCTTTCCACCCTTCAATAAGAGACCATTTCCACTCCGGATGGCAAGTGAAGCTATCTGTTTGGTTTGTGGATAAAGCACAGCTTTAGCAAATTTACATATTAAGAAGGAAACAGAATTTGACTCTTAATATACCTGTACAAGTGCATCAGGTCGTGATTCAAATACAATCAGAAGTACGCCTAATGGGGATGAGGTCTTCTCTAAGACAAGACCATCAGCCACCTGTAAAAGGATTTGCCACAATGAACAAAAAGCGTAAACGACTATTATATGTCAACTAATAATACTCATATCTTTTATTTAACTTTTAATATGTATTTAACAATATGATAACAATTTTCCTCTGATCACCTCTGTTTTCTTCAAAACACGGCCAATTGGATCTTCCATTTCAGCTAGCTTACGAACTGAGCCTGCAAGGCTTGAGATCTATCAAGCACAAGATGAAGAAGCATTAGACAAAAATGGCTCATAACGAGAGGTAAACTGGATATGGCATAGCAACAATAAGCAAATATCTATCATGCCATGAAAACTGTTTTACCTTTCCAGGCGTCATAACTAAGCGAGCCACCAACGATTCTTCCAACCCAGCCTCTTGTGCTGCAGCAACATCTAACTCATTCTCAGCTTTGATTGTTGTTTCATTTGCTTCAAGAGCATCGGCAATATCAAGCAGAATTTTTTTCCTATCTTCTGAAGATAGGGCCTGTAGCAAATTGCAAAGAAAATTAAGTACATCTGTGCTGAGCAAGAACTTTTCTGACATTACCAAAATGAAAAAGACTATACATAGCATCGGTCATGAAAATAGAAGCTCTAACATTACCTGAAGCTTTCTAGAACTCTCCCTTGCTGCAACAGCCATGTCACGAGCACTAGAATCTGTGATAGGAGCCCATAAACGAGCATCTTGATGGAATAAGGTTCCAACACGCAGTCCTCTGAGGACTTTGTCTATGTTCTCAGCTGAGTACCCACTTCAAAAGCAAGAAAAGAAAACAATTATTCATCTAACAAAATATGTTTAGCTTATTGCTGAAAAGAACATATATTGTGGTGGTACTGAGAGGACATTAGATTTGTTGTATGAAAGGTCAGATACTGAAATCGAGATCAGAAACAGTCAACAAATATAAAAAAGCATATCACAGTATAATTAAGCATGATGATCCTAGAAGGGCCCTCACCTGGTTATGATGACAGGGATCCCAGCATAAGCTGCATTCACTGCAGCTTTGACTTTAGCGGTCATACCCCCTCTCCCTAATCTTGATTTGTCGCCGAATGTAATCTCGTCTTGATGCTTTTCTTTAACAAACGTGTGGATCAACTTTGAGTTAGGATCACTTGGAGGGCCTGTGTAAAGACCTTCAACGTCACTCAGGAGAATCAGAAGATCAGCTTTCAGTTCAAGCGCTAGTAGAGCAGCTAAGCTGTCGTTGTCCCAGAAAATACCAGAAGAATCCTACATATTATCAGGTGCAATGAAGTTTAACATTAGACAACAAGATTCAAAGAACGCCAGCTGATAATTAAAATTTCAAGTCACAAGGGACAAAAGACAGTCAGCAAACCTGATATGGGGCTCTTCGGGTGCTAATAGCATCATTCTCATTGAAAATTGGAATAACCCTCAAATCCAGCATAGACTTGACGGTCTCATTAAGTTGCTTCCTGAATTCCTTGTCTCTAAAACTACTGTCATTCACCAGAAGCTGAGCCGCGGTCACATCCAGCTAGCCAAAGGAAAACAATAGCATCAATCTCTGGATATGTTACACAAGAATCTACAAGACAAAAACATATAGTTCTTTTCAACTGTTATCAAGTAAAAAATTTGGAAAAATCACCTGGTCGAACATGGTCTCGTAATAAGCCATAAGACTGCTTTGTCCAACACCAGCACAAGCCTTCCCATCAAGTTCAGTCTGAGGCTTCTGAAGATCCGCAAAGCTGAAAAATCCATTAAGAAAAGCAAACTCATCAGCAAAAGAAAAAAAAAGAAAAAAAACTTTCAGATATAAAAAGAAAAACACAGAAACACATGTCACTGTTATAGCAGAAACATAAGCCAAAATGGTCCATTCATCACCACTTTTTTTTGTTTTTCTTTTCTTTCCAAACGTTTGCAAGGGAAAAGGGATTAATAAAAGATTAGCCATTTATTATTGCTTAACCTGCTATTGACTAATTGTCGATATCGAAGCCTTTGCCGGCCAAGGCCAACCGCACCAGATGACACCAATATCACCTCAAATCCATCCGAGTTTAATTCCGCAAGCTGACATTATATTTTATTTTTTATCAACAAAATTAAAGGTGCACACATGAATCATTCACATGTCTTTCGTGAACAAAAAATATAAACCTTTTCTTGATACAATTCTGGTATAATCAAAAAAGCAAATAATTAACAGTTTGATGATTTAAGGGAAATTAAAAAATAATTATAATAAACAAATCACCTGTTCACACAGTGCTCCCAAGCGACCAAGAGCCAATCTTCCACCTTTTCCAGTCACAACTGCGGTCCCAACCTTTTACATAATAGTAATACCCAAAAAAAAAAAACAAAAAAATATTAATCACCAAAAAAATTCCTACGAATATTCTGATTATTCATTCATTCGTCTCTACTGACATGCAAATTAAGATTCATATGAGAGACGTTTCGATACAGATTCACGAAAGCATTTCAATAAGCAGAGAGTTAAAAAGATGCACTTCAAATTAATATTAGTAATCATTTTGACATTACCACTGATTACCTCAGTGACGAAAACAACTAAAAATGAAATTAAACATAACACTACACCAATCCAAATCCAACGACGAACACTACACAGATCAGACGAACACCCATAAATAAATAATAAAATCAAACAAATG